GCGGGGCTCAAACTTACGAACCGTGAGATCATGACCTGGGCCGAAATCAAGAGTCAGACACGTAACTGACTGAGCCACCCAGGTGCCCCTTCAAAATATTTCTTTCCATTAAAAAAAAAAATTGCTTTTTAAAGTAGGCTCCATGCCTAACACGGGCTTGAACTCACGACCCCGAGATCGAGAGTCACATGCTCCCACCCGACTGAGCCAGCCAGGCGCCCTGTGTTTGTCAATCATCCCGGTGGTCTTCCAAGATGTGTTACCTTTGAACCTCCACTGGAAACACCCGAACAGCAAGGATTTTAAGCTGTGACGGCAGGTCACGGGGCAGATACTTGCGGTTGTGTGTGGAATGCCTTCCCGGGACTTAGAGTTAGCGCACAGCGTTTGTCCCCTTTTGTCCCCTTTTAAAGCGTTTGTCCCCTTTTAAAGATTTTCAGGATTTTCTTACCCGTATTTCAGGTGGAATCAGGAAGTGGACTTTCTGTGGCATGTCTACAGTTTCCATGATGCATTTCCTCCCACCTCCTAGTGGTGCAGCAGGAAAGGGCCTCCCCCCACAGCTGTCTCCTTGTCCCCAGCCAGCCAGCCTCTTCCTGCACTCCTGGCATCTACTCCCGGGCATCAGGAAATGTTCTGAATGCGTGGTGGCCACGACCATATTCCAGCGGCTACGGCCAAAGAGAAGGAGGGTTAGGCAGCAAAAGCACTTCTGGATAAAGCTTTCGTGGGAACCCCTGTCAACCGTGGCTTCTAGCATGTCGTCAGGACCTGGGTCCCTTCCCCAGAGGAAGATGGACCCCAAGCTGTTCACGTCAAGCTCACAGAGAGTCAGCAGTTAGCTCGTGTCTTCACGCTCAGATGTTTTAGGTTTGTTTCACGTTTCCTTCTGGAAGCTTTGCCTGCCAAGCTCAGGCAGGCGGCAGTGAAACAGTAGTGGTGAGACCTGGAGAGGGGTCTCCTGAGGGGCCTGGAAGACCCATCGGGTCTAGAAAGCAGCACACACAAAATCACATTGGAGCTTCATGGGTGATAATAATTCACATATGAAATATTCCAGCTGGAGCACGCAGTAGAAGTAGTATTTGGAACACCACCCTAGAAACTCTGCGGATTTGAAATTGTAGTGAAATTCATCTTCTGTGTTGTAAGGTGCTCTTAAAATTCCTCTTATGGCTCTGTCTCAACCTCAAAGCAAATAATTGCCCTTAAAGTTTCAGGTTTTTATCTCTTTCTTGCACAGGGTTTTATACTGTGAGATGCTTCTTAATTGTTCATCAGCAGCCCTGATTAGAGCTATAAAGGGGAGTGCATGTGTTTGTTTAACCTCCTTTGTAAACTCAGGCCACTGGGGTACCTTCTAGCACACGGTCTCCCCAAACACTGGATTTTGTGCACGCCAGGGTAGCAGATTCTTGAATAGAATCACCGTAGTTGTTTGTCTCTGTGAACGCAGTTTACTCGAAGCACAGTATGCCGGAATTATTTCTGTAATTCACGGCGGTGTTATCATTAAGGTGTGTGCAAAGGACACTAATTCCTGTTCTACGGGATAAAACAGCCAAGGCACAGAAATAATTCTGCCTTATTGAATCTTCTCATAAGAATCTAGGGGAAATAGTGCTTGAGGTACACCATAATAATAACAATATGCTCAGCCAGGTACACCAATTACCCTAAGAATGATGTGGGTGGGGACCGCATTCCCGCAATGATTACGTAACTGTGATTCACCTGGGAAAGCCAGCAGCCATGTGACATTGCTTCTGAAGCAGCCCCCCCATCCTCCCGGGTAGCTGCGTCCATGATGGTTCCACCACCCAGTCTCGTTCGGGGCCGACGGAGAACCGGGCCAGGTGTCCAGGGTCCTCTTCGTTGACTCTTGCTGTGGGTTCCCTCGCACACGCTCCACCGCTCCACCAATGTCCTGAGAAGCCAGGGTCCCTGGTCCATTGCCAGTGCCCTGCCAAGGCTGAGGACCTTAGCTCCGGGGAGAAATGGAGTCACTGGGTCCAGAAACAGGGTGTGAAGCCTGGAGCCTTGATCACACCTGCATCCAGCATGGTCCCCGCTTCTTGTACCGGTTGTATCTGTCCCGGGCACCCTCTGCTGTCCTCGCGTTTCTCGTGACATGTCTTAAACGGGTTTTCCTGGCGTGAGGTGAGGAGGAGTGGGTGTAGGAGACAGCTGTTGAATCAAATAATGTGTCTTCTTCATGGAATAACGTGTTCTTTTTATTTATTTATTTTTTGAATGTTTATTTATTGTTTTGGGGGGGGAGGGGCAGAGAGAGAGGGAGACACAGAATCCGAAGCAGGCTCCAGGCTCTGAGCTGTTAGCACAGAGCCTGACGTGGGACTCGAACCCACGAACCGTGAGATCATGACCTGAGCCAAAGTCCAGAGTTGGATGCTTAACCCACTGAGCCAGCCAGCCCTACCCCACCCCCCCAGTCACCCAACACCCACCTAACACACACATACATGCATTTCTCACACATCACATTTTTACTCTCAGATGCTTTTGGTAAAGAAAAGCGCACCTTTCTGTCATGGGTCAGTCCTGTCCCCGCCAGGTGTGCACATCGCTGGGTCTGCTGAAACGGGCTTCCAGGCTGATGGAAAAGTCTTGGGAACGCCGCCCCGGAGGGACGTTCACTGGTTTCCTTTTTCGGCAGGCTTCTTTTCTCGGTGGATAATTAATTCCCTGTGAGCTAATCAAGGGCTCCTCGGATGGAGCCCCTCTTCGATTCTCACCTCCGTGCCAGGGACGTTTTCTTGGCAATTGAAACCAGAGCAATAGGTTGGCAGTGGGACCGTATTTGGCGAGGGGTAAAACAACCCGTGATTGCACGTAATTGCAGCAAACAATTTTGAATTTTATTAATGAGGTGCTCCAAACAGCATCTTTTAGCCCATTGTCCCATTAACAGCAGATTCACTGGAGTTCAGGGGGCTGTAACTTACATCAGTCTTCCCCCTCTGAAGGCACCTGCCCCTGTAGTCCGTAATTGACGCAAGTTCGTCATTTTCAGGAATGGTTCTTCCCGGAAGCTGTAAAATGAACAGATTTGTTGGAGAGCCGCGTGGCTTTAGCCTCGCGTGGAGGGCCAGTTGGCGGTTTCTGCTTGGAACCTCTTTCCTTTCCTTAGAGGTGGTGTGGGCACAGAAAGTCCTCAGGTCCGCGGTTTTGAGGAAGGGGCCCAGGGAGGCAAGGGGATATCTTATTGACAACACGAGCTTCTTTCCCAGCCATTTGTTTCCTCCCACCCAGCGTGCAGCATGTCCGGGTTAAGCGGGGTTTTCGGGGTACCCAGGAAGGCTTCTGGGGTAGGAGAAGAGGCAGGGTGGGGAGCAGTGTGCCGTGTTGGCCATCGGCTTCTCCTTCCCTCAGCGTCGTAGCTCGAAATACGGCATGTGTGGGTGTTAGTCTAACGGAGGAGAGAGGTCCAGTCCGACACACATGGAGAACTGGAAAGGAAGAGACATACCGATCATCAGAAGTTTCCAAGGGGGATGTAGGACGTAGACAGAGGACTTAGATCTTGCCCCTTGTGTTTCGGGTGAGCCAGGAGGGCTTCCTGGAGAGGCTGGCCTGGGGGATAAGCATTGCAGGCGTGAACTCGGAGAGCGCTGGGTGCCCAGGTGCCGCTGGCTTTGGCCTGGAGGTGAGCTAGGTACAAGGACGGGGTTGGAGGTCAAAGGGGAAATGTAGGTTGCAGGGCTTTCCGGGTCATGTGGTCATTCTGACGATGAGGGGGCTTTTTGCAAGATGGACGCAGAGGAGAGGCGTGGCCGCTTCATCTGGTCCTTGGGCCGCTGTCAGGATGTGCTGCGGAGCCACAGGCGGGAAGATCATCCTTCGGCAGCACAGGGGAAAGGGACCCTTTGAGCAACATCTTGAGTGTGAAACAGGCTCCAGGCTCCCAGCTGTCATCACAGAGCCCGACGCAGGGCTTGAATTCACGAACCGAGAGATCATGACCTGAGCCGAAGTTGGACGCTCAGCGGCGGGTCCTTAGCCATCTCTGGTCGTCTCCACTGCTGTGTGGAAACCTCGGCAGGTGCAGAGCAGCGACTGAGGGTAATTCCCCGACGCTGCTGGTTCTGCGGGAGCCTCCAGGCCTCTGGCTTCTTTCTTCCCCAGAGGAGCCTCCCAGATGAGGGAAACCCTTTCGGAAGACCCATTTGGCTCCTGACAGCTGGCAGTGTTGCTTCCTCCTTGGGATACCACGGCCTAATTTATTTCTTGAGACCAAAAATCTATCCCGAGGAGCCATGGCAGTTTTAGAGCTCACACCGAGAGGCTGTTTGCACGGGCTCTGTGTTCTCTCGGGGAGATGGTTCCAGCAGGGGGCTGAGAGAGGAAGACCGCCGACTGTTGCTAAACGCGGTGTCCCTTGTGAATAACAAGGCCCAGCTTCCAGCCAGACTGGGGTCTGCTGCACTGGGCGTGGGGTGGGAACAGCCGCCACGCGCTCCCCAGATAGCTGTCTGAGCCCCTGTGTGGCCCAAAGCTCTCCCAGTTAGTAACGCCATAGAAGGCCTCTCCCTTCTGGTGACAGGCCCATCTCCAGACCCACCACAACTGTCTAGCTTTCTGCCTGTTGGCGGGACCAGAAATGATCTGTCTGTGAGGTCAGCTTTAAAAAGATCCAGGGCAGGGGTGCCTGGGTGGCTCAGCCGGTTAAGCGCCTGACTTCAGCTCACGTCATGATCTCGCTGTCTGTGAGTTCGAGCCCCACATCGGGCTCTGTGCTGACAGCTCGGGGCCTGGAGCCTGCTTCGGATTCTGGGTCTCCCTCTCTCTCTGCCCCTCCCCTGCTCGCACTGTGTCTCTCTCACTCTCTCTCTCTCTCTCAAAAATATGTAAGTGTTAAAAAAAAAAATGAAGAGACCCAGGGC